CGTAGGGGCCAGATGGGATCGCGCATGAGGCCCACGTGGACGTAAAGCGGAGAGAATGCAGTGGCCAGGGGAAGATGCAGGGACAAGGGGCGAAGGAATGGAGAGACAGAGTGTGAGCACTAGGTGGACGTATGTGTGTCTATAGATACAGGGGCGGGCCAGTGGAACCCACTGCCAGCCCCATGTGGGGCTTTGGCGATGAGCGGGCGAGGAGGGGCGCGTGACTTCGCGCTCTCGCGCTGCGCGAGGCGCGAGGAGCGCGAACGACTGCGCGCTCTCGCGCCGCCCCCCCATGGGAGAAGAGGAGGAAGAGGAGGAATCGGAGCCCAAGCGCGAAGCGTGGATAAGTTCGCGCCTTCGAGGGCGCCCTGGCGGAAGGAAGGGGAGGGCCCGTAGGGCCGACGGGTCTGCCCCGGCTAGACGCTGGGCCGCGCGCACCGCTCATTTGTGCCCTCGGTTGTCGCTCTACCGTTTTCGCTGGTGTCCAACGTGTCGCTTAGCATGCACAAAGTGCCAAGGATGCCACTTCAGGGGCCTCCTGCTCCATCGCCCATCGGTAATCGCCTGCAGCGAGGAGGAGTTTTGAGGCGAAGCCCGGGCGAGGATCAACTCGGGTGAGGATAAATCGAGAATCTCTGATATCCGTCGGCTTTGGAGTGTATCGGGCGTCGCAGCCTTCTCAAAGCGTTCTGGAACGCTCGGAGAGGGATCCGGATAGCCCTGGAGCGAATGTTTTATCCTCGTCCTAGTCCCGCCCGAAGTTCTGTTTCTGTCCACCGAGCAGTTCACTGCCCCTCAAGAAGGCTAACACTGCACCTATCGACGAGCTGGTGCAGCGCCCACGTAACGGGAGGGTTCTGTAAAGGTCAGCCGATTCAGCGTCACCACATTCGGGGGGGAGCGGGCGGCGAAAAAAAACCCTAGGGTGCCCTTCTGAGCCACATCGGCGTTTGAGCGCGCTCGGTTGCCGAGTGGGCAGCCGAATGGACTCAGCTCCAATGCGTGAGCCCGCTCAGCTGCCGGATGGGCTCGATCTTGGGCCCACACTCGGCGGCCGAGGGGGCTCAGACGCCAAATTGGCTCAGAAGGAAACCCTGGGGGAGGGCAACTGCGAGGGAGGAAGGGATGGAGTTCAGTTCGAGCGGGACGATCGCGGGACGCGGTTCCAGCGCGCAGCGCGTGGCGAAAGAGGCGGAGGAGGAGAAGGAGAAGAAGAACATCTTCCTCTTCCGATATTCTTATAAGCCCGGGCGGGGGGACCCCCCCCCGTAAGGTGCTGGATTCGGTACCATTTGACGGTGGGTGTATACAAGCATACAATTTGTATTTGTCTTGTATAGAGTATAGAAGTGTGTGTGCGTGTGTGACATAATGTGTGTATACGTAAACATAACCTACAAATGCATGCATTTGCGTACATAGAAATAAGCTTGCATACGTACGCACACACACACACATATATACATATATACATATATATATAAATATATATATATATATATATATATATGTCACACATACTATACACTTACATAGACACACACATAAACATGCGATAAACACGTGAAGAATATATAAAGTATAAAGATGCGCATTCCCAGATTCACATGAATAGAAACATGCATATGGTTAGGCGTGCACCTGCATGTGATTGTATGATGTACAATGTGTACATGCATGCGCGTACATGTTGGTATACTATGTATATGCTACCATGTGGTTCCACAACAATGCTATGCAATATGCGTGTGTAAACATGGAGTTTGTTTGTTTGTTTTTTTCAAAAAAAAAACCTTCGTATTTACAAGAATAAAAAGGCATGCGTATGAACATGTGTAAGCGAGTGTGTTCTAATGTGTATACAATGAGTAAATAAGCGTGTGTACTTTTATACCTTGTATGTATCAATGTATATGCGCGCATAAAATACAATCACATACAATATGTGTATACAAGGTAATATATATATATATATATATATATATATATATATATATATATATCCACGCTTGTATATATGCAAGCACGAATGTGCGCATACGTGAATATATTCGTGTATGGTTGCGTATGCAAAAATATATTTAAGTATATAGGCGCATTTATATATTTGCGCATGTGTCTGGAAACACACAACAATGCGTACACAATTAAACAAGCATGCGTATGTGTAAATATAAATTTGCAAACACACGCGCAAATATCAATACCTTTATCCATGTCAGAAACAACGACATGCATGTGCAATTGACGTATATATGCAATCATGCAACGTTGGACAACGATCTCACACATCATACCTACAAACTGTGCAAGTGTTCATGTATGCGTGCACGCACGTTGTAGGAGCACGCGCGGCCCAGCATACAGATAGCATCCTGCGTATATGCATATTCATTGGCACATGTATATACATACATTCCTACAGTGGTGTTTATAATTATGCGTATATATGTATATCATAATGAGGGGGCCGAAGGGTCATTCACTGTCCCTGGGCGCGTGGCTGAAGTGGAATTCCGCGGTGCGGATTATCGTTGTTGTTGTTGTTTGTTGTTGTTGTTTGTTGTTGTTGTTGATGTTGTTGTTGTTGGTTGTTGTTGTTGGTTGTTGTCGTCGTCCCACCCGCAGCCCGCCCCGCGACCCACCCGCGACCCAGACCCACCCCGCGACCCGCCTCGCGACCCACCCGCGACCCACCCGCGACCCACCCGCGACCCACCCCGCGACCCACCCCGCGACCCACCCCGCGACCCACCCCGCGACCCACCCCGCGACCCACCCCGCGACCCACCCCGCGACCTGCCCGCGGCCCACCCGCGACCCACCCGCGACCCACCCGCGACCCACCCGCGACCCACCCGCGACCTACCCCGCGACCCACCCGCGACCCGCCCGCGACCCAAACCACGTTCAAGGTACAAACCACAATTTTCGGCGCCTGCGGCGTTTGTTTTCTGCATTCCTTCCAGGTGGAAAGCCCGCGCCCCACCCCATGACCAACTCGCGACCAACCCGCGACCCAAACCACGCTCAGGGTACGAACCGCATTTTTCGGCGCCTGCGGCGGGCATATTTTGCATTCGTTTCAGGTGGAGAGCCCGCGGCCCACCCGCGACCACGTTCAGGGTACAAACATAATTTTTCGACGCCTGCGGCGGGCATATTTCGCATTCGTTTCAGGTGGAGAGCCCGCGGCCCACCCGCGACCACGTTCAGGGTACAAACATAATTTTTCGGCGCCTGCGGCGGGCATTTTTTGCATTCGTTCCCGGTGGAGAACCCGCGGCCCACCCGCGACCCAAACCACGTTCAATGTACAAACCAATTGTTTTGGCGCCTGCGGCGGGCTGCTTTTGCATTCCTTCCAGGTGGAATGGGAGAGCCCGCGACCCACCCGCGACCTAAACCACGTTCACTGAACAAACCAATGCCGCACAAGCGCGGCGGCGGATTTTCGCATGCCGTCTGAGCCCGCAAGGACCTCTCCAAGCCCCGCGCATCCACACCAGCCCGTCCAGCAACTCTGCCATGGCGAGTTGCCTTGATCAGAGAAGGCAGGGAGCACAAAGTGGAAATAGTGATTGCGTTGCAGTTATCTTGGGAAAGGAGGGGGAGGCAGGAGGAGTAAACAGCGGACGAGGAAAACGCGGAAGAAGAGAGGATGTAAGGAGAATGTGGAGAAAGAAAAGGAGGAGGAGCAGGACGATGATGGAGGCCGATGAGGGGGAGGACGACAGTGGGAGGACGATGATGAAAGGACGGGGGGGGAGAGGGAGGACAAGGAAGAAGGGGAGGAGGAGGACGAGGTGGAGGAGGAGGAGGACGATGACGATGAGGACGAGGACGAGGACGGAGGAGGAGGAGGAGGAGGAGGAGGAGGAGGAGGAGAGCGCCATCGACAGGGAAGGTGGGGGCCACGAGGTCCGCCGGCTCGACGACGCCCGCGTCGCCCGCGCCCGCCCCCTCACTCTTATCCGCAATCGCCACCACCGTCACCATACGCATCACCACAATCGCCAGCATCATCATTACAACCACCATCATCATCATCGTCAGCATCGTCACCATCATCATCAGCATCATCACCCTTATCATCATCATCATCATCATCAGCAGCAGCATCATCATCATCATCATCATCATCATCATCATCAGCATCAGCATCATCATCATCATCATCATCATCATCAGCATCGCACCAGCTATCCAGGCCAGGAGAGCTTTTTGTGTGTCTCAGGCCATGCTCTCGAGCAGGCAGGGCGGCATTCGCTGAACTCGGAGGGGGAAAAGGAGGGACGAACGCCGACACGGCACAGACACACACACACACACAACACACACACACACACACACACACACACACACACGGCGAACGAGGAGGAGAGAGGAGAAAGGAAAGGGAGGCAGAGGGCGGGCACAGAAAAGGCTTGAGCCGGGGCGGTTTCGGAGAACCCGCGCGGCCTTCAACGCCCCAGCGATTATCGTTCGAGAACGGGCCATCGCACCAGCTATCCAGGCCAGGAGAGCTTTTTGTGTGTCTCAGGCCAGGCTCTCGAGCAGGCAGGGCGGCATTCGCTGAACTCGGAGGGGGAAAGGGAGGGACGAACGCCGACACGGCACAGACACACACAACACACACACACGGCGAACGAGGAGGAGAGAGGAGAAACCCACACAACCCCTTGCGGGCTCCTGGCAACAGCCGCTGATTAATGTAATATCTGACGCAGGCAGCAGAGGCGATTAGAACCAATACTGTTCTTCAGCGCTCGGGCAAAGGCGTGGCAAAACCAAACAGGGTAGGGCTCCGCAACTTTTGTCCACAATTTGCCCGAGCTCTGGTCGACTCCAGTCAGCACGATGCGGGGCTTATTCGAGTGACTGCAGATGCCCCCCCTCCCTCGGCAGAGTGGAGGGAGAGATATAGGGAACGATGGAGCCCTGACCTGGACCCGGGTCCGCTTGCGCCACCTGGCGCCGAACCCACAGTAGTCCGTCGT